ATGTCAGTGTGCTGACAGTGTGACTAGTGTGAAGACCATTGTTACAAAGTCACTGAAGTACCTAAGCCAAAGAAAGTCTTCTGTTTTTTTTCATTATCCTTCTCAACAAAATTATGTTTGAAGTTAAGATCTCACGACCTTCAAGGTCCCCATTTTTTATCCAGGAACTCTTGAATGTCCCAGCTTGTTAATGACTCACAAGTTCCATATAAGAACATTGCACAAAGAAAAGGGATCAGATTAGTTTACTGATTTCTTTACATTGACTGTTTCGACTCTTCTTACTTTACCATCCAAGCATCATCCCAGCATGAAGCTGATCAAAAGAACTAGGCAGCCACTAATCACATTTCAGGCTGAGCCAAGTTTCTCTATCAATATATCAATACTGAATCAGAGTTGAATGACACCTAATTGCAGTACACAGCATGACTGCAAAAGGCCTCAGGCAGTCAGGGAAAAAAAATTGCTTCTACTGAAGTCAAAGATCTTTGCAACTGCTTTCAGGAGTCCCAGGGTTAAAACCATTATGGTTTCACAGTATTCTTAATTTTGGTCTCAAGCGCAGCCTCTTTCAGCTCCTGACATTTCAGATTAGGCTCTGTAATAACCATCCTCCAGATAGGTACATTTAGTCCTAAATGGTCTTGAATTTTAATAAACCTGTGGGTGTGAGAGCCCATAAAGCTCCTGGTCTTGGCTAAACCCTTAACTGTGTGTTTGAGGTTTCAACTATTTTATCAGTGTTATTATTTCTTTCAGCCATGTACTGAATCTCAGCACAGAAGCTTCTGTATGATTCACTAGCACTGAAGTAATGGCACTTACAGATAAACAATGAGAACAGGGCAAGATGTGATGTAAAAAAAACCTGTAATGTTTTACATAGCATAGGCTCACTTTTTCACATGCATCTAGGTAAATAAGAAGCCCACAGTAATTTTCTTGTGAGCTTTAGGTGCTCAGAGCCCTGAAACCTGCACTACGCTGAAGTCAATTTCAAAAATGGAAATTCAGACACCTATGTTAATAGAAAGAACATATACCTTATAAAGTGGTTTAGGCTTCTGACTTCACCTGTTTTCAGAGAGATTTGTGCAGCTAAATAATCTGGCTACTTGTGCTTCACATTTAGCCACAAGAACGTTGTAATTGTGAAGAAACCTGTTCAGTGTTGGTCTTATGGTCACAAAACGACATTTGTTTTTGCAAAAAATGAAAGGTATTAAAGTAAAAATTTCCCAAGATGCTCCGAAAAGAGCCTAAAAAACCTATGTTTTTACCAGGAGCAAAAGGCAGAAGCAAGGGGTCCTAAGAAGCATGATTTCAGCTTTCAGGGAATATCATCCGGCCAATACACTACTGTATCTAAGTGAGTAGGGGCAGGTCCATTCGGTTACGGTATTCCTGGTATAACTGGAAGATAATGAGTGTGAGACATTAAATTTACTCATAGCATCTTTGCATTGATTCAGCATCTAAAAAGTCTTTTCATGTTTTAAAATACAGAGCCAATTGTAATATTCCAGTATTAAAATGACAGATGTAATTCTTCTAGTTATATTAACTTTATTTAGCTATTCTTAATTTTGTATAATCTTGATTTCTTAAAGATGTATACTTTTCAAATACAATATTCCTTGACATGGCCAGTCCATTTTTATTATTTTTTTTATTTTAGATCATCATATTTATACTATTTGCTTACTGACCTCTCACATCAGCTTTTACAGCGGCTTTCAATAATGTAACTAATTTCATGGTTCAGAACAATGATGATCCTTCAGAACAAAGGTTGAAGCCAGAAACAGCTGGAAAAATGCAGATAGTGTAAAAATATTAAATATATATATCCCTCCTACAAAAATACCATCTCTTTGGGTCAGAACAGCATAGTCATTCTTTAACACTTTGTATAGAATTGAAGAAAACACCCCTAAACCTATTTGTTTTTCTGAATTCATACCCAGCCATTTCCCTGCAGGCTGATTTCACACTGTTATTCCAGCGGGTGACTGTGTCTTGGACGAAATGATCTGTTTCCTTGTGCGTTAGGCTTCCTTCTGGCCCTGGAGTATTACTGTAATATGCAATATGATGACACATTTTTATAGTGCTCTCTGTATTAGGTGTATTGACAAGTAGGTATAAAGTGTCTTCTGTTTGACAGCTCCTTTGTCAACTACTTTGTATGCTGTGGACATATCCTTGATGGGAAGCTCCCCTCACCCAATCAGATTGCTGTGCCAGTATTTTCTTTGACATATATATGTAATAAAACAGTTGTGCTGACATCCCGGGTGTGTTGACTTCTCACTGACCAAGAGCGGGTGGAACAGCAAGGCACAGAAAATCCACTATGCATTCTAACATTTAGGCTTTATCCTTTATTAGGTAGTGAGTAAGAGACATAAAAAGAATTGAGTTTGTTGTTTACAGCTGAAATTTAAGAGACTTGTGTGAACAAAAACTTGTTCCATAGAGCACTGTGACAAAAGAGGTCCAAGTAAACTGAAGGTGTCATTGCAAATTAGCTGATGTAAGTAGTTGGAATGATGTTCTTTTTATTTCTAGCAAAACTTGTATTAACTCTGACCTTAGTACTGTGCCTCCATACATGCCACAGGCCACATTTTGGCAAGGATTAGCCTGTTGGTTTTGATGGCATTATAACAACATGGCAGGACGTACAGCAGGTGTCCATGCACCAGAAGGCTCTGCGTAAGAGCCTACAGGGTATTTGTGGGTCTCCCCTTTTCCCACCTGTGTGTTTTTTCATGGGGAAAAGACTGCCTGCCCAGATCTTCTCCCTTCCCAAAATGCTGGTCCTCTGCTTGTCTAGCATGATCTTACTTACACAGGCTATTACAAAATGGTCTGGAGAGAAACGGTGGTTCATGGAGCACAGCTTGAAAAGTGGTGCCCTGTTCAAGGAGGAATCTGAACACAGCTGTCAATGGCACTACAACTTCTGCAAAAAGATGGAAGACTGAAAGCAGGCTTAAAAGACCAAGGCCAAGATTTTGCAAAGAGGAGTTGAACCTTACTATATTACATTTATGTACCCAAATAAAATGAGGCATTTTCTAAATTGAGTGCTAGGCGCAGGTTTTGAAGGCTGGCTTGTTTACTGCCTCTTTACTGGGAGCTGTGGAGTTTAGGAAGCCCTTTTAAATGTCAGCCCCTAGTTATTTAGGTGCCTAAACTTGGCTTCAGGAACTTACTCATACTCTTCTTGTTTTGGAAATTGGGCCAAAGCAATCCAGCTAGTAATTAGCCCTGAAATCACCATCACATCTTTTTCATGGCTACATAGGAGTGAACTAGATACAAACAAAAGCCCGTTTCATTTCAAGGCACAAACGTTTGCAAATAAACTGGATGAAATACAAATACATAATATAGAACTTATTTTAATACTTGTAGATAAATAAATGCATCTCTTTGGAATTCTTTGGACACAGACATCCATGGAACCTCTTCTTTCTCTCTTTTTATATATATATTTTTTTTTATAAAATCTAAATGCAGAGAGGT